CCGCTCGTTTGCCCCCTTTTACTATAAAAAAAAAAAAACCTACAAGAGGATGGATTCCCAACCGTCACCCCGCTCTGTCCCCATGTGGGGACAGATGAGAACTAAAATCATCCGTCCGACCTTTTAGTCTTACTATCTATTTCCACAGTGGTAGAGCCCGCTTTAACATCTTCGCACGAATAGGCCGGCTCGCCCGGTGCAATACCACGACCACACAGAAAACAGGCGTGAAGTGGAAGTAATTCCGCCTACAGTCTGATGAGTGTGGTGCCTGAGGCCTAATTTTAGCCCCTTTCCCTTTCCACCCTTTTCTTAAGAGGAAAGGATGGGAAGGAAAAGTGGATTTGACGGTTGGAGAACACGCATAGGAAGGGGAAATGTCCTCTTTATGTGCGTCTCCTCCTCCGTCAATTAAGGGTAGGAAACGCATCTGCAATTGCGGATGTTTATGGGCAGCGGTCGCTTACTATTGAGGTGGATTGAGGTGGCCGCTTGCTCGTTTGCCATCTCATATTATTAAAAAAATCTAAATCTATACTAATATAATAAAGCGTAAACACACACTTTGTTGTTGCCTAAGATGTCAGCAATCACAGCATATTTTTGAATAACTCTTCTTTTAATAAAAAGTCGTACACTTCCTTTACGCTTTAGGCTATATATTTTCACGCCATTACACTTAGGGGTGAATGTTTTGGATAAAAATTCTAATGTGGAAAAGAGACCATAAGTTGCTGCCAACATCAAGGAAACAAGATTGCCAAGGTTTGTCATGTTATGTCATTTTGACATTTGCAATTCATAATTTGACAAATGTAAACAATAAAATGATTTTTTTATAATTTTATGCGGATGAAGTCGTATGGGAACAGCTAGTCACTAATAAGGTGACAGATGTAACCGTTTTGAAATAAAATAATTTTCAACTGTCCCCTCATCGAAAAAACTGTGTGTGTACAAGAAAGGTCGATCAGAGGTACACTAATTGTCATTAATCTTTCGTTTGCGTGCTACTATCTGATTGGTTATTTGTAAGGGAACAGTGGTAGTGCCCGCTTTAACATCTTAGCACGAATGGGCCGGCACGCCCCCAGTAATACCACGACCACACAGAAGATAGGCGTGAAATGGAAGCAATTCCGTGTTTCGTCTGATGAGTGTGGTGCCGGAGGCCTAATTTAAGTCCCTTTCTCTTTACCAACCTTTTCTTATAAGGAGAGGTTGGGAAGGGGAAGTGGATTTGACGGTGGAGGAGATGCATAGAAAGGGGAAATATGCTCTTTATGTGCGTCTCCTCCTCCCTCGTACAAGGGTAGGCAACGCATCTGCAATTGCGGATGTCTATGGGCAGCGGTCGCTTCGCCATTTTGGCGGCGCGCCGCTTGCTCGTTTGCCACCTTATGCTATAAAAAAAGGGGAGTTTGTCTCGTTTCAAGGCACAATTTTTCTTTAAGTGTATAACTGCTGATTTCCACGACTGTACATTGTTTACTCGTGTAGCCTCATTGTTAATATTCTTGAATTTATATCTGTAAGGACGTTTTGTATTTAAATGTATTCATAACGTTTTTATTTGGACCGTCGTGAAACTAGAATAGGTGTTATGAATTTGTTGTCGACAATCACGTGGTGTTATTGAATTTAAATGTATTGTGCTAGCTGTTGCCCGCGACTTCGCCTACGCAATATAAAGATAAGTAGCCTATAATACGATATTTTAGACTAATTTGTTGATATCATGGTGGAATATTATTTATAAATTTTAGGAAAGATGTTGGTCGATGTATGTACAAAAAAATCTATGTAAATAATTGGACTTTTGTAATGCTGTAAACAGACTTATTAAGAATTTTTTCTATCGATTTAAATACTAAAACTTTACCAAATAAATTCAATCATACTTCATACTAATATTATAAATGCGAAAGTTAGACGGATGGATGAATGGATGTTTGGTATAGATGTAGAGGATATTCTGGAAGAACACATAGGGTACTTGCTTTTGTTTTTTATTAATTCCGCACAGACGGAGTCGCGGGCAAATAATAGTTATCTATACTTGTATGCTAATCCATACTAATATTATAAAGAGGAAAGTTTTGTATTTTTACGTATTGCAATAACTCAAAAAACTCCGCCGATTTCAAAAATTCTGTCAACATCAGAAAGTAACCTTATCAGTGAGTAACTTAAGTTATATTTTTAAATACACGCAGGTGAAGTCGCGAGCAACTAGTTGTGTATAAAATTTCTCATTAACTTTATATTTGACATTGTAACTTCACTCTTATTATATATACTATATTTCCCTTAAAATAAAGGGGGAAAATTTACTAAACCGTTGTAAATTTTCCAAACCAATACGACTTAGGGTCCTTCAAAAAGCGAGCCTATCATTTCCTCAAAGGCCGGCAACGCATCTGCAGTTCCTCTGGTGTTGCGGATGTCCATGGGCGTCGATGACCACCTTGGTGTTCACGCCGCTCGTTTGCCCCCTTTTATTATAAAAAAAAAGATCTGTCATGATGTATGGATCTGAATGTTGGCCAGTAAAAGGGACGGATGAAAGGAGAATACATGTGACGGAAATGCTAATGTTAAGATGGATGTGTGGGGTAACACGAATAGATAAGATACGAAATGAGTACATTAGAAGTTTGAGAGCAGCCCCAGTGGTTGAGAAAATGAGTAAAAGGTTAGAGTGTTATGGGCATGTTATGAGAAGGGATGAATTGCATGTAACAAGACTGACGTTAGTTATGAATGTGCTACACCGGTAGAAGTAGACATAGAAAGAGATGGATTGTGTGAAAGGTGACATGATCAAGAAGGGAGTGATGACTGAGATGACGGATGATAGAGTTATTTGGAGGACGAAAACCCGGCGCGCCGACACTACGAGAGTAGGATAAAGCAGGGGAGATGATGATTGTAACTTCACTCTTTTGTAGTGTCTCATAAAAATTAAAATTTTCTTTGTTTGTCTTCCCTTGCATCAGCAAATTTATTCCTGTATTTTTCTGGAACGCTACTAAATAGGTATGAGGTAAAAAAAAGCTGTTTCCAATTCCGCGAAACGTTGAAAACAAATGTAAATTTTGTTTTCGCCTCAAGAGGGTTATTTCATCAGCAATTGTAATCCATAATTGTCATTCATGGTCGACTTTAGTGCGACAAACAAACAGGCCCGGTGGTAGTTCCTTTGTAGTTATAGGTGTATGTAAAACTAGCTGTTGCCCGCGACTTCGTCCGCGTGGTATTAGAAATCATACAAACTATATAAATAACTTAAACGTACGTATCCCTCGGGAACCGGACATTTCTCGGGGATGAACCTTATCGCATTTGTACTCCAGACTTTGTTTTATATCTGTGACAAATTTCAATAAGATATGTTGAACCGTTGCATAATGATCGAGTAAACATTAAAAAACTAAATTAAAGAATCCCACGGGAAGCGTAACTATTCCCGGGATAAAAAGTAGCCTATGTGTTCTTTCAGACTATGGTGGACTAAACCTGTGCCAAATTTCATGGAGATCCGTTCAGCCGTTTAGGCTACAAACGCTAACAAACATCCATCCATCCATCGTAACTTTCGCATTTATAATATTTATATGATGATTTACTTAAACCTTAATACCATAGATGTTTATAAATAGATAGGTGATTGGAAATGTCAGTGCTTTGTACCGAATTGAAGCTTTTTGATGTGTGACTAACTATTACGATTTTTCTGTTAATAAACTATCTATACTATTATAATAAAGCGTAAACACACACTTCTTTGTTACCTAAGATGTCAGTAATCACAGCATATTTTTGAATAATTCTTTATTTAATAAAAAGCCCTACACCTAGGTCACGCTTTAGGCTATATTTTCACGCGATTAAACTTAGAAGTAAATATTTTGGATAAAAACCCTAATGTGGGAAAGAGACCATAAGTTGCTGCCAACGTCAAGAAAGGAGGATTGCTAAAGAGATAAGGTTTGTCATGTCATGTCATTTAGACATTTGCTATTGATAATTTACAAATGTAAACAGTAAAATATATTTTTTTTAATTTCACGCTGATGAATCCGCACGCGAACAGCTAGTATGTAGATGAGTTTGAATAAAGACGTATTAGTTAGAAGAAAAGTTTTGTATTTTCGGCTGACGCGCTGTCGGTAACAAGTTAACAAACAATAGCTTTTATTGTTGGACACCTCCAGTTTCCCTGTACATAAGTTAAAATTAGTTATGCTTATCGTAATTTTTTCATATAAACTCATTAAAAATGTATATTTTCAGGTTCATTTCCAGTTAACCTTATTCCTATGTACCTCAAATCATTCCATTTAAATGTAATTAAATTATTAATAAATTTTACGACATTCCATTTTATTTATTAATAATACATGTTTATTAATATTTAATAAAGATTCCTAAGACACGATTCTAAAGTCCCTTTTTACTTATTATGTTCTATAACACCGGAGTATATTATCTTTAATAAAAAATATTATTTTTATTGACTTAAAAACTACTTAACTGTATTTGAAAAAGCTTTTTTTTACTTTGTATCAAGTTTTTTGATATTGAATACTTTTATCAGCGTGTAATATCTAAATCGAATCGAATTTCTTTGTAATTCTGTGACGGAAATCCATTTGTCACTTCCCTCGCCATTCCCCAACCCTGCCATCATCCACCGTCCCGATGGTGTGATCTCATGATGAGCTCCTCTCCGGCAGTGGAACCGTCCTCGCCTTCCACCACCACGCCGTCATCGCCAGCGCTGCGGGCGGGCGATTGTGGCCACTTCCACACGTCGACGCCGAATTACACGAATAAGGTGATTATACTTGAGATAATTACACAAATAAGGCAAATACACCAAAAGGTGTAAGAATGTTAATAAAAGGGAATTACACCAAAAAGGAGTAAGGTTGTCAAATAAAACACAAAAGGTGTAAGTTTGCACAAAAAAGGTAAACAGTAACGTGCAATATTACACTACTAGGTACACCAATAAGGTGATCACCACCATAAACCAGAAATTGTTAAGATTGTATGTGGATGGCTACAAAGGATAGGAAGACCGAAGAAAGTATGGATTGTGTGAAAGAGGATATGCTTAAGAAAGGAGTGGATTCAGATATGGCTGATAGAGGTGTATGGAAGAGCACATACTGTGACGACCTTCCGTAAGGGATAAGGGCAAGTGGATGATTACACAAATGAGATAATTCAGTTAAATAAATACACCTTTGAGTGAGTAATTATTGATAGGTTTTTTTATTATTTCAGAAGCAGAATAACTTACCATGGAACGTTGTGTTACCCGCCATCTCGACAAATCCACCTACCGTCGGTGAGTCACCTTTTACACAAATTTTTTTAATGAAAAAACAAAACCGACTTCTAAACAAAATACACTAAAAACAAAATATTCTCAAAAAGACAGTACACTAAAAAGTAACGAAATAATTCCTTGAAAATAGTAAACCTCCCTTATTGTACCTATTATGTCAAAATTGTACAATTATTATTTATTGTATTAAAATTGATCCACCTTCAAGCATTACGTTTCAGATAAAAAAGAATTATCAAAATCGGTCCAATAGTGGCGGAGTTATGCCGTGACACACACAAAAAATAATAAAAAAAACATACAGACGACTTGAGTACCTCCTTCTTTTGTCGACTGTACATATGAATTTTGGAATTGAATCTGTAGATTACAAGTTAAGTGCTAAAACCCCTGAACTCTCGTAGTATATGTAGTTCTATCTGTCTGTATTTTTAACGATATATGTTTTGTGTGTTTTGGAGCTGAGACAACTCTGACGCCCCCGCCCCGGTCGCCCGGCGCCGCGCCCGCGCACACGCCAGCATCAGGCGACGGTAGGGGGCACGCCCCAGACGGTACCTCCTCCGATAAGGTGAGAATACTACGGTTTTAGGTGAAATGTGATCTTCACCAGCTCAATATACATATGTCCCCATTGAGGGGGAGCCTGTAACACAGTGACAGTGACAGCGAAGGTGTCAGGAAGGGAAGACTGCACGTGGACACAATAATAAAGAAACACTACAAAGACAGGCAGTTTTATTAATAATAAAGAAATATTACAGAGCCTACCCTAGAAGGACTAGGTCATAGTCAACCTGCACTGGGCGACTTCACACATCTTTGAATTTCTTTGCCGGTGTTTTTTTTATATAGTACTAGCTGTTCCCGTGCGGCTTCAGCATGGAAATGTCAAAATGACATGACAAACCTTGACAATCTTGCTTCCTTGATGTTGGCAGCAACTTATGGTCTCTTTCCCACATTAGGGTTTTTATTCAAAAATATTTACCCCCTAAGTTTAATGGCGTGAAAATATATAGCCTAAAGCATGACGTAAGTGTAGGGCTTTTTATTAAGAAAAGAATTATTCAAAAATATGCTGTGATTACTGACATCTTAGGCAACAAAGAAGTGTGTGTTTACGCTTTATTATAATAGTATAGATAACATTACCAAATGGGATTATCACATTACTAGGTGAAGCTCGCGACGCCCTCGTGTAATTAAAAAAAAAATATTCTATGTTACTCAGATAAATTACCTTTCTAAGGGTGAAAGAATTTTTGAAATCATCCCAGTAGTTTTTGAGTTATTTCAATACATACAAAAAAATCTTTTCTCCTTATAATATTAGTATAGATTTAGATTTAACTTTTTTATATGTCTCATTTCTTAAGCTTATCAAAATTTATTAACAATTTTATCGCTTCCGTTACGTAGATAAATTGTCTTTTAGACTTATCCGACTGAGTCAGAAGACGACTGACTTTTAAAGCGTTTTGTATGTAGTCTATACTATTATAAAGAGGATTTTTTTTGTTTTTTTTTTTTTTATAACATGTGGCAAACGAGCAAGCGGTCACCTGAATTCACCGAAATGAACGACCGCTGCCCATAAACATCCGCAGTTGCAGATGTGTTGCCTACCCTTAATTGACGGAGACGCACATAAAGAGGACATTTCCCCTTCCTATGCGCCCCTCCAGCATCAAATCCACTTTTCCTTTCCACCCTTTCCTCTTAAGAAAAGGGTGGAAAGGGAAAGGGACTAAAATTGGGCCTCCGGCACCACACTCATCAGACGAAACGCGGAATTGCTTCCACTTCACGTCTGTCTTCTGTGTGGTCGTGGCGGGCGAGTCGGCCCATTTATTTTTGATTTTTGTATGTGTTAATATATCTCAAAAACTACTGAGGTGATTTCAAAAATTCTTGCACCATTAAAAAGCTATGTAAACACTGAGTAACATAGGCTATATTTTTAACTTCACGCAATTTTAAAAAATAATTGTCTTTTTCTGAACCTGCTTTATGTTTGTTCATATGTATGTATCGTTACAATGGAAACCCATGTTTTCATTATTTTAAACTAGCTGTTGCCCGCGACTTTGTCCTCGTGGTATGAGAGAACATACGAACTATATAAATAACAAAAAGCTACGTATACCGGGAACCGGACATTTCTCGGGGATGAACCTTATCCCATGTGTACTAGACTGTGTTTTATATCTGTGCCAAATCTCAATATGTTGAATCGAGTAAACATTAAAAAACTAAATTAATGAATCCCACGGGAACAGTTACTATTCCTGTGATAAAAAGTCTATGTGTTCTTCCAGATTATCCTCTACGTCTATGCCAAATTTCATCGAGATCCGTTCAGCAGTTTAGGCTACAAACTCTAACAAACATCCATATAAACTTTCGCATTTATAATTTTAGTAAGATTGATTTACTTTGTTTTTTTTTTTGTAGTGTTAACGATATAATGTTATTTTGTTTTGAATGTTTTTTTTTATTTGCAATCTTCCAGTCGTCTGAGACGGCGGCTGGCGTGCCCCGCGCGCCTAGCACGGCACTCTCTCGCAAGGAGAGTTACAAAGCTCAGAGACAGCACTACCGTAGGGAGAAGAAGAGAGCTGCGTCCGCTCTCTTACATTCTATAGAAGATCCTACTGTCGTCGTACTCGCTGATTGGCTGAAGGTAGTTATAATAAATCTTACTTTAAAATTTAGTGTTAACTGTTATTATAACAGTGATTTTCTATGTCTTACTTTTATAGCATTTTAAACATCAAATTAGTTACCAAAATCGGTAGGAAATTAAAGTCCTGGGTCACAAGTCCAATATGTGTAGGAAATTAAAGTCCTCGACTGGGTCACAAGTCCAATATGTGTAGGAAATTAAAGTCCTCGACTGTGTCACAAGTCCAATATGTGTAGGAAATTAATGTCCTCGACTGGGTCACAAGTCCAATATGTGTAGGAAATTAAAGTCCTCGACTGGGTCACAAGTCCAATATGTGTAGGAAATTAAAGACCTCGACGGGGTCACAAGTCCAATATGTGTAGGAAATTAAAGTCCTCGACTGGGTCACAAGTCCAATATGTGTAGGAAATTAAAGTCCTCGGCTGGGTCACAAGTCCAATATGTGTAGGAAATTAAAGACCTCGACGGGGCCACAAGTCCAATATGTGTAGGAAATTAAAATCCTCGGTTGGGTCACAAGTCCAATATGTGTAGGAAATTAAAGACCTCGACGGGGTCACAAGTCCAATATGTGTAGGAAATTAAAGTCCTCGGTTGGGTCACAAGTCCAATATGTGTAGGATATGTACGGTAATATCTGAATGTCAAATTTGATACTTCAAGACGCTTTTCAGTGTTTTAATTATTTGCTTGTTTGTAATTTTGGACATATTAGAATAACTCTACCTGCGTTAGTGAGATTATGTGAAAAATGTTTCAAGTAAAGTGTCGACTATGCCTACTTTATATATCTTTAATCTCTTTGGGTTATACGTAGCTGGGAAACCGGCTATAAATGTGTAGTATTCGGTAAGTTTTGTGTGTAATAATTTAATGTCTGTTTCCACTAGGTGCGGGGATCTTTGAAATCGTGGACTAAACTTTGGTGCGTGTTGAAGCCTGGCATCTTGTTGCTGTATAAGAGTCCTAAGGCAAAGGTTAGTTAGTATTTGAGATTTAATTACAAATATCATTTACCTATGACTCGTGGAACTTTTTAAAAAAGTAGCCTATAACATACGGGTCTATGTCAGCTACCCTTCAGTGAAAGTCCGGTCGAAATCGGCCCAGTCGTTTCGGAGATTACCCGGAACAAAGGTTGCGAACAGACAGACAGACAGACAAAATTTTTTTCCCGAAATCTGTAATATTCTTTTGATATTATAGACACTTCAATTTTATTATATGTATAGATAGTAAGCAACATCCATACATTTGTGTTACAGAGTAGCCACTGGGTGGGTACGGTGCTACTGACCTCGTGCCGTGTGATAGAACGACCCAGCAAGAAGGACGGCTTCTGCTTCAAACTCTATCATCCTCTAGAACAGAACATCTGGGCTCCGAGAGGACCACACAACGAGACCATCGGTAAGACTACGCTTATTTTCTTATTTACTAGCTGTTGTTCGCGACTTCGTCTGCGTGAAATTAGTTGGTAATACAAAATATAGCCTATGTTACTCATATATAATGTTGTCCCAGTAGTTTTTGCGTGAATCTAATACATAAAAAATCGAAAAATACGTCTTTTCATCTTTCGTCTTTATAATATTACTAGATGTTGCTCGCGACTTCGTCCGTGTGATATTAACAACAATACAAAATATAGCCTATGTTACTCATAGATAAATTACCTTTCTAATAGTTAAAGAATTTTTGGAATTGGCCCAGTAGTTTTTGAGTTATTTCAATACATACAAAGATAGAAATCTTTCCTCTTTATAATATTAGTATGATGAGATGACTAGGGAATTATTTTTATTTTTTATGTATTTCAGTGGCCTCTTGCTTTTCACTATTTGGTATAAAAAATGTTTTTCACGCATATATGAAGTCGAATTTCATACAAATAAGAAACTATATACAAATGTCTTACACGTCATTTATTATGTATTGATTATGTAAAGTTCCAATATTTAAATTGATATAAACATGTCTATAATGTGTACAACATTATAGACTAGCTTACGCCCTCGACTCAGTCTGCCTGGATTAAAAAATCTAAAGTAAGAACTCTATGTGTATTTCCAGACTATCATATTAATGTTATAAATGCGAAAGTCTGGATGGATGGATGTTTGTTAGAGTGTGTAGCCTAAACTGCTGAACGGATCTCGATGAAATTTGGCATAGATGTAGAGGATAGTCTGGAAGATCACATAGGTTACTCACTTTTGGTTTTTTTATGTCCACCCAGACGGAGTCGCAGGCGAAAGCTATACCTCTATACACATATGTGACAATCATCGAGATCCGTTCAGTAGTTTATGCTACAAGCTAACAATCATCCATCTAAACATTGGCATTTATAATATTAGTAAGATGACAGTTTTTATAAAAATACTATAGCCCGCGACTCCGTCTATGTGGAATTGAAAAAAAGTATTGTAGGTTTTTTTCCAAATTATCCCCTACATCTATGACAAAACTCGAGATCGAACGAAGTAAAGGCCCGAGCCGAGGCTCCTGAGGGAGCCCTCGAGCCTAGTTACTCATAAAAGAGGTTTAGGCTAAGCGCCATCCGCGCTGGGCCACCTCAAGCCCGGTGAATCTGTAAATGCCTCTTCAAGGCAAACAGTGACTAATCAGTCACAAAAAAAAAATCGAGATCCAGCATTTAGTCTACAAACTCTAATAACAAACATACATTTAAATTTTGTGATAATTCATTACTTATAGTTATAAAAATATATCTATTGTCGTTATGAGTGTGTGTAACGTTCAGTGGTCCTTCGAGCCGGATTTAACCCATCGATCTTTGAATACCCGAGTGTCATAGTGTGTCACAGTGTCATGGTGTGTCATGGTGTTCCAGGAGCGGTGGTGCAGCCGCTGCCGACGGCCCACTTGATATTCCGCGCGCCCTCGCAGGCCGCGGGCCACTGCTGGCTTGATGGACTGGAATTAGCTCTACAATGCAGCAATGCTATGCTCAGGTATAGGTAACTACTATTGCGAGAGACTTCGCCCGCATCAATTTAAGAAAATAAAAAATGTAGCTTGTACTTGATAAATTACCTTTCTAAAGTTGACAGAAACTTTAAAGTTTGTCCAGTAGTTTTTGAGTTATTTCAATACATACAAAAATATAAATCTTTCCTCATTTTAATATTAATACAAGTAATATAAAATTCAAAACATTTTAAAACTAAGATTTGTCCCAAAAACACTGAAAGGACTAAATATGTCTTTACTAATATTATAAACAGGAAACATTTGTATTCTTGTATGTATTGAAATAACTCAGAAACTACTGGGGCAATATTGAATATTTTTACCATTAGAAATATATATTGTTGCTGATTTATATTTATACTTATATTATAAAGAGAAAAGATTTGGATTTTTGTATGTAACGGATAAACTCAAAAACTACTGGGGCGATTTTAAAAATTCTTTCACCATTAGAAAGATAAACTATCACTGACTGATATAGTATATATAGTATTATTATTTTTTCCTTATTTATATAAATATAAGTGATTTTCTTTGTCCAGATGTTCCGTGTCCCGTCCGGAGGCGGCGTTGGAGCGCGAAGTGCCCGTAGTGCAGACTAATATATCTCATGAAGAACTCGAGAGACATTTTAATGATCACGGTATGCATACACACCATACACGGGAGTAAACAATTTTCGCCAAAATGGCGAAACGACTATCCATAGATATCAGCAATTGTAGCGTTGCCGTACATAAAGAGGATGTTTCCTCCTTCTGTCTCCTTCACCAAATTTAATTTCCCTGTCCTATTGTAGTCCCTTTTCCTTCCCACCCTTTTTCTTATACGAAAAGGATGGGAAGGGAATGTGATTCAGGCTGGTTGCTTGTTTGCCATATTCTGATATAAAAAGACCTTTCCTTCTAAGAATAGTTTGAAAATTATTCCTGCGATACACTCATAACAAAAATACATATTTTTATATAAATTGAAAACGCAAAATTAGGTATGAATTTTATTTATTTATTTATTTATTGCAATTAAATTATACAAACATCTATATAAAGTAACAATAAGTACCCCTTCAGGTGTGTAATATAATGAGTACAAATGCATCGAAACAAACTTTGGGAACATCAACATAATGCACCTAAAACCATATCATATTTGCAACTAAACACTTAATAACACAAAAACAACAGAACGAAATAAAAAAAAAACGTTACTAGGTCTTTGTACTGAAAAATTCTATTTTTCTAAATGAAATCTATTGATTCTGTGGTTTTTAAGACTTTTTGCATTTATTAATTTTATGTGTTTTTTTATATTGTTTTAATACTAATTCGAGATATACCTGAAATGTTTTAAGGTAATTTCTAATTTTTATTTTTTATTTTGTTCCTCCATACACCCTTTGCACGTATGCTAGTAAAACAAACAGTCTCAACACGTAGTTCTCCAATACCTTCTGTGACACCTAACTCACCAAATAGATGTAACTCTGCCGACCCCAAACCGAAGAAAAAGTCTAAAATATCAAAATGGGCGCAATTTATCGAATCCATAGAAATTTTAGCTAAAGATAACGATACAAGTGACTCTCAAACTCCGGAAAGCGACAAAAAAGAGGGTTTTCTAGATTTTTTAAAGAAGAAAGATTTGTCAGAAATAACAGAATTGAAACACAAACGGCTATCGAAAAGTTTAGCTTCGAGTCCTTTGAAAATTGATTTACCAAAGAAAACTCCGTTGTTGAAATATTTTGATCTGCCTAAGAGTGCGGTGTCTCTCGGAGACAAGAAGGATAAAACAAATACAGGTTCAAAGACCCCTTTTCCCAAACGACGGAGTTCAACTCCTTCCACTTTAAAGAGTAAAACAGCACAGAAGAGAATAAGCGATCTTCGAGAATCTGGCGCAAAGACGGATTCAGAGAATGATGATGTTAAACCAATGCAAAGGAAATTCAGAGGCAGTTCAGAAATAATTTGTGACACTTCGAATGCTTATAATAATATTTTAATTACTAAAACAGCGCCATCTATTGAACGATTCCGTGAAACTAGCACTTCGTCTACTGACGATGATAAATCTAGCAGACGGTGAGTTTCGAAATATATCCGTTGATATATGATTTAACCAATAAATATTAAAGTATGAAATAAGCTGTTAATAAATCTTCCAAAGATTAATTTGGGAATAACAGAAATTTGAAAATTAGCGCCATCTATTGATACAAATGATAAACATTTAAATGACATTTTCTAGCATTCCATACCGACATAGTTCTCCTTCCAATGGCAAGTTTTCTCTAATCAATTATTCCCATTTACCTTCAACAAGTTTCGAAGCTCTCAAATCTGAAAGAAGAGACGAAAGATTTACTTCACAAAGCGTATACGTTACTGGAAAAGTATTAACTGACGGTGAGATGTTTTACCCTTGTCTCCACTGCCGAAACATGTATGAAAACAACACAATAACAAGACACTTAAATTAATTGACGTCACACTCAAAGCTTCGCGGCTTTAGGAAACAGAATATAGAAATCTACAACAGTAACACTTGTATAGTTCTTTTCAAATATCTTGTTGATATTTGACAATTACTATACAAATCTTTCATTCTATGACAAAACAAAGACAATATGTGACTTCTCATTGCACTACAGTTATGTGTTTATATAAGTATCATGTTATCGTGGACGGGTTGTATACGCTAGTATTATGTGGTCGGCATTTTTGTGAACGCTATTTTTATATCGCTATTGTACCATCTGTGAATGGTTAATCTTTGACCATTCTAGGTCACTACCTAAGTAGGTACATTTATGTAGACAGATGAAGATATTAGACCCGGTATTGTTTTTTTGTATTATAGCTGTTTTATTTTTTTAAATCCTGTGTATTTTATAGTGATATGTATGTATGGATAGGCGATAGAGATATACGCATACTGTGCCGACCCTCTGTAGGGACTAATCAAGGGAATTTTAGGTTACTCTATACTATTATAATAAAGCGTAAACACACACTTCTTTGTTGTCTAAGATGTACAATTACAGCGTGTTTTTGAATAATTCTTCTTTTAATAAAAAGTCCTACACTTACGTCACGCTTTAGGCTATATATTTTCACGCCATTAAACTTAGGGAGTAAATATTTTGGTTAAAAACTCTAATGTGGGAAAAAGACAATAAGTCGCTGCCAACATCAAGGAAGCAAGGTTGTCATCATGTCATTTTGACATTTGCTATTGATAATTTGACAAATGTGAACAATAAAATGATTTTTTTATAATTTTATGCGGATGAAGTCGCATGAGAACAGCTATTGCATAAATTGCAATTTAGTTTCCTTGACCGACAACTTGTTGAATTTTCCTTATACGTAAGATGCATTTATGTTTTCAATATGACTAGCTGTTCCCATACTTTATAATCATAATCATACTAATATTATAAATGCGAAAGTTTAGATGGATGGATGGATGGATGGTTGTTTGGTAGAGTTTGTAGCCTAAACGGCTGAACAGATTTTGATGGAATTTGGTACACATATAGTCTGGAAGAACGCATAGGCTACTTTTTATCCCGGAAATAGTTACGGTTCCCGTGGGATTCATTAATTTCATATTTTGATGTTTACTCGATCATTCTGCAATGGTTCAACATATCTTATTGAAATTCGGCACAGATATAAAACAAAGTCTGGAGTACACATGGGATAAGGTTCATTCCCGAAAAATGTCCGGTTCCCGGGATACGTTATTTACATAGTTCGTCTATTTTCGCGGACGAAGTCGTGGGCAACAGCTAGTAGTGAAATATCTTTTAAAATCGGTTTAGTAGGTTTGTTATTTCAATACATACAAATATTTTCTCTATATAATGTTAGTATCATACTTCATACTAATATTATAAATGCGAAAGTTTAGATGGGTGGATGTTTGTTAGAGTTTGTAGCCTAAACGGCTGAACATATTTTGATGGAATTTTGTACAGATGTAGAGGATAGTCTGGAAGAACACATAGGCTACTCACTTTCATTTTTTTTAATTACACGCGAACGGAGTCGCGGGCGAAAGCTAGTAGATTGTAAATTTTTAAACATGCGTTTTGTAGAAACCTATTTTGTTAGGATTTGACGAGAATGATGTTAAAGTGATTTTTAATACCATGTTAACGAAGTCACAGGCGACCGCTTGATAAGATATATGTTCAGTATTATTATGGACGTCGTCGCGTACGGTCGTGTGATATTTGTTTAGTGAGATTGTTTTAGATAATGTTGCGGTTTGTGACGCACGTCTGCAGTGATGTGTTGATTTTATGTGATGTTCACAGTTTATAAATAAGTTGTACTTTTAAGTCTACAAGCTTTAAAAATATATCTTAATCTCACTTGACTGAGAGGTATGATAGAGTTATGTGGAGGACAAAAACCTGTTGCGCCGACACTAAAGGGAGTAGGATAAGGAGGAAGATGATGAATCTCACTTCTTACTAATATTATAAATGCGAAAGTTTAGATAGATGTTTGTTAGAGTTTGTAGCCTAAACGGCTGAAGGGATCCTGATGAAATTTGACATAGAAGTAGAGGATAGTCTGGAAGAACACATAGGATACTTGCTTTTGTTCTTTTTTTAATTCCGCGCGGACGGAGTCACGGGCGAAAGCTAGTAATATTATAAATGCGAAAGTTTAGATAGATGTTTGTTAGAGTTTGTAGCCTAAACGGCTGAACGGATTTCAACGAAATTTGGCACAGGCTTAGTACATAGTCTGGAAGAACACATAGGGTACTTATCTCGGGAATAGTTACGGTTCCCGTGGGATTCTTTAATTTAGTTTTTTAATGTTTACTCGATCATTCTGCTACGGTTCAACATATCTTATTGAAATTTGGCACAGATATATAACAAAGTGTGGAGTACACATGGGATAAGGTTCATCCCCGAGAAATGTCCGGTTCCCGGGATACGTGGCTTTTTGTTATTTATACAGTTCGTATGTTTTCTAATACTACGCGTACGAAGTCGCGGGCAACAGCTTGACTTACTAATATTATAAATGCGAAAATTTAGATGGATGGATGTTTGTTAGAGTTTGTAGCCTAAACGGCTGAACGGATCTCGATGATTGATAGATGTAAAGAATAGTTTGAAACACACAATCTATTTACTATTGTTTCGATTCCACGCGGACGAAGTCGCGGGCTAAAGCTAGTGTATATTTGGGCAGTTGAATGTACTTTCGTGTCCACACTTATCTCCTCGAGTAAACCCACTTTTAACTAACGCGGACTGATGGTGATAATATACTTAGATCGTGCATTTCTTTAACTAAACTGTCGCAAGTCTGCTTCCTCTCTTTGATTCCTTTGAGTTTATATGGAGGTACACTACTCGATTTTTGTTTGCAACTAAACAGTTGAATTGGCCGCGAAACTATCTATACTATTATAATAAAGCGTAAACACACACTTCTTTGTTGCCTAAGATGTCAGCAATTACAACATATTTTTGAATAATTCTTATTTTAATAAAGCCCTACACTTACGTCACGCTTTGGGCTATGTATTTTCACGCCATTAAACTTAGGGGGTAATGATAAAAACCCTAATGTGGGAAAGAGACCATAAATTGCTGCCAACATCAAG